ACTTTTTGTACCGATAGAATTGAAGCGACCGACTGCGTTTATATATAAGTGCATAACATAAATGTAAATAATGTATTACATTATAGGTAAATTACGATGCATAATATTATGTACATTTAATATAATATCAGGCTACGCAACAACACGTGATTTGTATCATACTTACCGACCAAATAACCAACGAGGTCGGTCATCCAAAATATACATATTTTAAACGATAACATACGCCGACGTTATTAATCGCTCTGTACATATTTTTTCAGTCGTACTCGCAAGAGTAGCATTTTATTGATATAATCACTGAAAATAATGAAAAAAAAAACAAAATCCTGCAAAGAAACCGACCGCTGCGTAGGTATTTAGTATAACGTTAATTAATTAGAAACCTGTTGTGACTGTTACAAATGGCATTTCTCCCCCTGAACCGAACCGCCTATAATGCATGAATAATGGCTTTCATATAGTAAACCTGCTACACACAATGTATATCGTACATAATATGCGTATATAAATTTATAAATATGTATATTGTATATATATGTATATCAAATGTGCGTGTGTATAGGTTAAAAACAGTAAATATATAGTTTTTCATAGATCGTATAGGTACAATGAAAAATCGACATGGAAAAACTATAGTGAAAATAATTATGTGATAGTAAAATATTATTAAGTTATACCGACAAGAAAAAAAAAAAAATTACCACTCACTTGATCGCTTAAAATATTAAAATAAAAACAACTAACTTACGGTCAACGTAACACGTATACGGAAGACGTGCCATTGAAGGTATACACGTGGTAAGTAGTTAGATTAGGTTAAGCTAACGTGACGCGTGGTGATTATTTAACACATTGTTAGTTTTCGTTAGAATTTGTGTGCACGAGCAACGATAATTTTGAAATTTTTGGACGTGGATATTGATATACAACTGCGAGATAATTTACATAATTCTCCGTCGTACATTATTTAGATACATGTACCGTTCAGACGTAATCGGGAATAATATTAATTTATCATACTTAAAAAGTTGAATATCTGTATAAATTTTCGAAACGTATTTAACGCGGTGTGTGCATTCAGTAATACTACTGCTATAGGAAATTTTAATCTCTCGACTTTAATTTAGGTGTACCTATAAAATGTATACGCGATACGCACCTTACATGAATGATAAATGTATAGTATTATTATTGAAAAATAAAAAGCGCACATTAAATAAATATACTCAGTACATTTGAATAATACAATTCAACAAATCGGCATATTATACCCGTTAAAAGAACCTACAGCTTGTAGCTATACTTAATATAAAAGAAAACTAGGTCGATATAATATGATCATTTATGTAAGGCATATTCGTTTTATACCAAAACCTCGCCAAGATGAATAGTGCACTGCAAAGTTTTTATTCGATCATTTATGATGTTTGAGGTGGTACCTACGTACTTATACTTAATACGTATGTTTTATTCATCGAGACACACGCACGCACATAACAAACTGTAGTTATATGCACGTTTATCGCCAGTTCCGTATTTCTTCCCGCAAGAAACGAGTTCTTTTCGCGTATTTTCCGACATGCTTTGCTGACGTTTTTTAGGAGCTGTTTTTTTATTTATTCGACTATTTTTTAGGATTTTTAAGATCATATATGACACAATCCCATGTAGATGTTTTGGCAAGAGAAAAAATAATACGCTGCAGTATAACTATTTTATACACTACTGCGTTTTCGCATAATGTAACATGCACATCACTTAATAATATATTACGATACACGATACAATACACAAATAATATAACATTAATATAGCGCACATACCGAAATAATAATATCTAATATAATATAACGTTTATATTATTACGTCTTGAATAAAACCCATATTCGATAATATTACAATACGATATAATAATATGTATACCTATATATTATGTATACGGAATTACTATAGTCGGGTATAAACAACGATGACGACAAAGACGACGTCTATACGCGCGTGGACAGGAGACGGTTTTGCCCAATAAACAATAATTATAAATAACAATATAAAGACCGAAATAAAAACTAAAAAAAGATCCGTACTTTTAAACGGTTTTTTACCCGTTTGTTTTTCTTCGCGGTTTTTACGACGTTCTAAAATATTGCGATAGTTTTGTGTGGGGTGCGAATTCGTAGCGGTGATATTTCACCTTGCGATGACGATGTCTCAGGATTCTGCGGGTGTGCTAAACTGAAACGATATGGCGTAAATTGCGTACAGACAAAAATAGATATATCCACTGCAGTGGTCCAGGCGCTGTGCACATATTATTAATGCTATTATAATTAAAACATCAATGCCGTGTATAATTTATTAGTTTTTATTCAGTATATAATATGCAAAATAGGTGAAATGTCGCGCTCGATCCGTTGTTACATTATCGTGTACGTACCTATACATTTATTATTATTATATTGTGTTGTACGGCCGAATGATGTTTGGCGTATATATAGCAATTAATTCACGCGAACATGTAATGTATGCGCGCTGTTGCGGCTCTCTTTTCGATAATATTGTAATATACTGTACGCGTATTAGCCATATATTTATGAATATAGATGTATTTTATGCACAGTGCACACACATTCGCGCGCACACGAACACAGACACGTATGTGTATATAGTACATTGAATACGGTTTTTCGTTTTTTTTTTTTTTTGTTTTTTTTTGTTGTTTCATGTTTGTTCTACCACGCAGGCCGGTCCCGCGGGAAAGCGAGAATTCGGATTGCAAAAAAAAAAAAAAAAAATTGAATATAAATAAAATGTCGAACGGCATCGATACGAATCGTTTTCGAGTCCAGCTATTTATAAAATATGAGATTATACGATTTGAACATCACAATAATATCGTAAACTCCCGTGAAGTCGCTTACTCCTTCCCCAACCGATTTTGGCCAGTTGACTTCAGAGTGCTATAATAATTATTATTAGGTATCTGAAAAATAACTGTTTAATGTTATTTTATTTTGATAAATATTATAATATGATATACTTTCTCTAAAAAATTCTGGTTTCGTGATAAAATATAAAATATTTTAATTTTATCACTTTACGAAATTCTAAGGAAACGTATAATCGTAGATCTAGGAAACTTATAACCTCATAAGCGTCATCGATGAACTCGTGTGGTGTCTACATATAAAGTACAAAATGTAATAAATAGTGTCTATTAATTTCATATATTCTATATTATTTATATATATTTTTATACAGCACGCAAAACAAAATATGTACGTATGTCTACGCCTCTACGATTTTTGTAAAAAAAACGTTATTAAATTTATTTACGATAGTTAAAAAATACATATAATTTATTAAATATCATCATTTTAGATTTAACAAATTTTGGCACGACTTCAATTTAAAAAAAAAAAAATTAAATTAATATAATAGTAATATGTGGTCAGAATTTTATCAACATTAAAATATATAGAAAAATAAAATTACTTAAAAAGAATATTAAAAACATTAAGGAATTTCAACTTGTATATATGTTTAGTTTTCTCCAGTGAGTCTTTGAAAAATAAAATGGGAGACAAAACGTTGTTTAAATAAATTAAGCTAATAATTTTTGGTACATTAATATGTATACTCAAATGAAACGTAATCTGAAAGTTACATTTTGATATATTTAAATCAAAAAAAAAAAAAAAAATTAAAATTAAATGTTTGGAATAATTAACAATATAAATTAATTTCAAATTGGAAACCTGAGAAGTTTCTATAGTAAATCAATTTGAACTTATGGTTTAAGATAGGTATTTATAAGACGTCACAACAATTGAATAAACGTATTATTATTAGAAGTTTATTTTGGTAGTTATAAGTAGCTTAACCATAATTTTGTCTATGCATCTATGTATTTTCGGTTAAATTTTAAAATTAAATATTGTCAATCATTTCAGTGAAGTGCCTGTTAATATAGCTGCTATTGTTTTATTTAAAGCTTGAGTAATGATAATTATTATTATGTTTAGATACGAGTATTAGTATTAAAAACTAAAAGTAATATTTAATTTTTAATTCGTATTTTATAAAACCAATGTAAGATACGCAGAATAAAAATTGTTTTTAATTTATTAATGTATGTTACCTATATAATATATAATATATTATCATAAATTGGCGATAACTCGTTGACTATGATAGACACAATTCGTCTCGTCACTATTATTTGCTTGTAATCCATTATATACTTCATTGTAAATTAATCGGCAATCTATGTGTTTCAATGTTACAAACGATTTATGGAAAAAGATAGTTTTGTATTATTTTGTATTTAATTAGTATATATTTACTGTAGCTAATAATTAGCTAGTATAAGCATTCTTATCAATTATCATTATATCTTTAAATGTCTAAATAACAAAATGATGAGTTAGCTTTATAAACCCATTTCATAGATAAAAGGGAGAATGAGAAGTTTATAAAATTTATCTTATTCCATTGTAATAATTTTGATAATTGGAATATTATTTCGAGTTTTTTTTCTTAAATACTTGTATTAAGCTTTATGAATTAATTTATAACCAATGTAAAAAATAGATCAATCATGAACTCATCACTAATGAAATAACTTTTTATTATTAATTAACATTAAATTCAATTAATTAATTTTAAAAATAATTATTAACTTAGTATTATTTTTATTTTTGCGTCACGTAGATATTTTATAATATTTTATATCATTTAAATATTTACTTATATTCATTATGGATATATTATTATTTCCATGGAAAAATCGTCGATGGATTGCTTATTATTTGGTAATTATAAATTGATTTTTTCCTTTCAATCATACATAATATCATCATTTTCAGTGAAAAAATGATTACATGGTTTCGCATCGATTTTTAAATTTCTGCAGTTGTCTAAAATTTAAATATCATCGAATATTTTAAAATATTAGTTTAAAATAATTTTTTAAGCTAAAAGTTTTTTTTTATACTTAGTTCAGTTTTATTGTTTAATTCCCTTGTATTTTGCTGAAAATTAAAAAAATATGATCAAATTTAAATACAATTTTTAGTGTAGTACATTATTTTACTAAAAATTTTAATGACTGTTTATTGTTCAATAGATTAATAAACCAAATTAAAATTTTTGTTGTATCGATTGGTTAAAAAATATGGCCATATTATAGTGTATTATATTTTATAATGCTATAACCATAAAGAAGTTTGAAATCAAAATTATGTTTTTAGGTACAGTAAGGTAAAATATTTTATTTAACGAATCAATTTTATGAGGTAAATATATTTTTTTTAGATTTTACATATTTCTGAAGAATAACTTATAAATGTACCCATAGCAGGTACATCGTTATACTTCTGTTGTTGTTTAAAAATAAAAAAATACTATCTCTATTCAAATATTTTTTTCCGTGCTCATTATTTCTTATTATAATATTAAATACCATATTTTCTTTCAATAATGGGTTAAAAAAATAAAATATTTTATATAGATGACCACAAATGAATTAAAAATCATAACTTTATAAATTACAAACTTAACTGCATAAGTAATGAAATATTTATATTCATTATGTATACATTGAAATAACCATATCAATTATATCAAAAATAAATACGATTTAAAATGTATTTCTATATAATATTCACTATATAGTGTATTATATTATGCTTGATATAGTCAGGCTTGTTCATTTAGCTTATACTTTAAAAATTTTATCACGATTACTATTTTTAAACGTCTGTCAATTTTCTTGTCAATGTAATTTCTTGCTTTTTTGTACTCTGTTATAGAAGCCAATGTAAGACTTAAATGCAATGGTTTATGTTCGGTATTCCTGTAGGTGACAGTCTCATTAAGCACTAGTAAAGAGTTTGTTAAAAATAGAGTTAAGTCTCGGGGAACTTTTCTGTCAAGTTACTCAACGTGATTCCTGTCATTGGTTGGAATGACATACGTACAAAAGACTACATTAAATATAAATAATATTTGTTCGTGGTATCAGTTTCACCAACTAATTATAAATTTACTTTGGTGCTGTAAACATTAATTTATTTTCACCGAAAAATATACATGAAACTTCAACGGTGTTCTTTATAAAACTCTAATATAAAACAAATTGGTAATTTTAAGAGCATGGAAACATTAAATTATTCATATTTTGGCTCTTGATCATAATTTATTTTTATTTGTTCATAATTTTTTTTTTTTTTTTAATTTGACTAGTATTTGCATTTAATTGAAGTAAGAATAGTAAAATATACTATGAAAAAAACAAAGTCAAAATAAAATAAGTAAATATTAATATTTAACAAAAGTCAACGTAAATTATGGATGTAATATGAATTATATGTTTTAAAATATAAATAATATTTTACTGATTTATCGTAAATTTAGTTAATTATGTTTTATGTATGATATGACTATATTGGTCATATAATATGATAATTGAAAATGACCTCATTGAAAATGCCGAGAAATCAATAATAAAAATAAAAAATGCATTAGGTAATATTTATTTACCCGTTAGTTGATATTGGGATTTTGTTCTTTTCTTTACAATGATCGCTTAATAATTCCTCGCTAGCAGGAATATCATGACTAACCAGAAGCATTTGGGTCTAAGTAAAATATAAGTGCTCTTAATACTCAATTTTTTTTCGACTTTCCTATACGTACCAAGTCGTTGTCGACTTCAGTGGTTCTACAATTCGTTTGGTATTTCTGGTCGAATAAATCCAATTTGTTTTTCCATTCGTTTGTGCGTTCAATATAATTCCGATATACCACATCAGTAATCTTGGACTTATTTTTGTCTGATGGGAGAGGGTTGTGTATATTACTATGTTACAAAACATGTTAAAGACTATCAACTATAATATATTATTTACCAAAATTAGATCTTGATAGTATTTTTTCGGAACCTGATAATCTGTCCGTCAGTAGTAAGTCGTTTTGTACTGTGAGGATTGAATTTTGTATTTCTAAACCATTAAACGCCGTTTAAATTAAACACAATTGGGTTTAAATAAAATAAGAGTAGATATATATTTATATTAAACAAAAACATTAAAATATTAACAGGTAAGATTGGATAAAATAATCATTGTATTATTCTATTAAACAATTAATATTTAACATCATTATTTTAGTCAAGGTAATATTTAAAAGCAGGTATTATAAATATATTTTTTAATAAGTTAGCATAACGAGTATATATAATAAGATATGTGAAATATGTCACGTTAGATTGAGCTCATGTTGTGCTAACGCATTTTCTTCTCAAGTCCATTATCACAAGATCGTAATAATTATAAAAGGTTAAATAAGATCAAAATAAACAATATAATAAAAAATGTATTTCTTAGTAAATATGATAAATATCTCTAAATAAAAATTATTAGTTTCTATATCAAAAATAATGTACAACGTAAACGGGTGTAAAACAATGTTTAGTTCTATACTTCTATGTTTTGGGCATTATTACTGCATATGAATTTATAAATTAGTTTAAGATACAACTAAAACAAGTTTTAAATCGTACATATAAGAAGTTTATGGAATTATTTGCCTTGTTCATTACTATTCAACTTCATTCGTTGCGCTACATTTCCAACAAATTTTTCTTTATATTTAATGATTTTTAAAAACTCCAAGCGTGACTTAATATTTTTCCAATAAAAAATTATTCTTTGCATGGTATTTTGTAATAAATTTAAAATATACACTTTAAGCATTATACAAGGTGCAACAGATGAATGGATGTTTTTTAAATTTTAAAGCATTGATAAATTGATAATTACTAATAAACATGATAAACAAGTATTTTATTTTATTTACCAATAATTATTATATTTTCCTGATATTATTTTTTAATCCAAAATATTTTAAGTACAATATGTAATTTGTGTCAATTATATTCCCATAAGTCATAAATGAAAACGTGAATTGTAGGCAAATGAAAATTTATTAGTGAAAAAATTGTACAATAATGATTAAAAATCTAGATATTAACATTATTAACATTTTATAATATAAATAATATTTTAAATACTATTCTTTACCAGTATTTTTACCAACTATGTCCTTCAATCTCGGTAATTTACCATATGGCTTTATCAAATGATTAAGGTAATTGCAAATATCAGTTATAATATCGATTCCACCTAATAACATAAGTCCTAAAATATAAATAATATATTTTACTGTCACTCTAAATATCGTTGCTTTAAATTTGAACAAACTGATAAACACTACTAGTTGGCCATGTTTCGACAATCCATAAAACCAATCAGAGTCGTTATTCGTTTTTGATTTTAATGCTGTTAATTTTAAGGATTCTATATCTTCGACCGGATTAATGTCAAAGGAAAAACTAGAATATCACGAGAAAAAAAATAAATTATTCAAACATTAAGCTATCGCTAAAAGAGTTGATACTGAATACGATATGTGCTTTTAATTATAATTTGTATAATCAAGTTCATTTTATATTTTCGTCATTCATCACGTTATTCTATAAACAATAAAATAATACACTTACTCAATAATATTGTACGCTGTAAGACTTTTGGTATAATATGTCCTGTCGAAAACTTTTTGCAAAATAAATAAAAACAAAGGATCCTTGCAAACGTCCAATATATTTCGGAGAAAATCTCTCTTCACATCCCATATACTCGTTACGTACCATTGTTGTAGGTTGCGAAATCGAAACATATCGTTTCCGTTCATAGAATCTAAGTGCACATTTATCTTGTCCTGCAGCATCAGACTGTCTCCATTTTGACTTGTCATAATTAATTAAACAATTACTGTTTTTGGTAAAATATCAAAATATATTTCAGCTTGAAAGCAACTATAATTCACTAGAATGAAACACAAAAAAATAAAAAATAAAAATAGAAAAAAATAACAAAAAATAAAAACAACTACGACGAAGCACATTTCACATAGAAACTGAATGTTTAATTTATATTAGTCTTAAAATGAATTTATTTACAAAAATATCAGTGAGTACGCACATAGCGTCGTTCAATTATATTTCGTTTGATGTGATTAATTCTCTTGAGTCTAATAAGCTATTTCGACTTAGTCAAATGGTTCAAGCATAAAAATAGGACTGACAAATTACTTTCATTATACACGTGTATCCTGCACACTTATGTCTAATAACGTTGATTTGTTACTGTACAAAGCAGTGCGGTACACTAATTGACGTGTCCGAGGACCAAGACACGAGGGTGATTTTGAGATATTATTTCCAACAAAAAATATAAATCTTAATAACAGTTACTGATCCGAATACCACGATAGATAATTTTTGAACGTTAATAATAACTCTTATAAATCATCGTTCAAAAAGTTATCACGTACATCTCTATACATATACATTAAAAAAGATAAGTTACAAGTTTAAAATATTTATGTACCAAATGATTGACAATGAAAATGGACCATTCTAAAAAAGTTTTATTTAATTTAAAATCAAATAAAATTATTACACATCACATAACTACTTACATATTATAAGTTATCACTTAAAATTAGATCGTGATATTAAAGCTTAAAAACGCAAAATATCTGCTTACTCCAATAAAAGTGCAATGTGTTATCACTTATCAGGATATGTATATTATAAATTTTATTTTGTTTAAACAAATCTCTCTGCACATTAAATTATATTATTACATTTGCTGTATATTACCTACACATGACCGGAAACGTTTAAACTGATTTGTCACTTAAGAATCTTAAGATGCAAAGCCATGTAATTTAGGTGAACAAACTGCCGTGTAAAGTGTTTTATTATTATTATTTTTTTTTTTTTTATAAGTGAATTTTATGTTATAGTAGACTACATTTATTTATAACATCGTAACTAACAAAGTAACTACTTAATTTTATTATTGTAAACAATCATTGTTATTGTTATAAAATATAATGCAATTTATTTATATATTTTTTTTATTTTAACCATTATTATATTTATAAAATTATTTTGATAATATCGATACGAAAAATACTGTTACTTTTCTTAAAATAAAATTATATTTTACAAGGACTATATATACAGTCATTTTTAAGAAAAAAAAATAGTTCTTACAAGGTACCTAATTACTCCATCTTTATTAAGTTTTAAATCGATTATAAAAGTGAAATATACGTCTTACAAACATTTTCTTTGTGCTATTATTTTCCGGAAAAGCAGCATTATTAATGTGAGCATGATAAGTTTGTCTTGCAATTCTTATTTTTGATATACGAAAAACGCAAATAAAATTTATTTCATTGTTATTTTTGTCTTTGTGAATAAGACGAAAAAAAATACAAATGAAACATAAATAATATAATAACTAACAGCAGCAATAACGTCATGTTACTCGAAATTTGTAGAACGATAAATTATTTAAGATATTATCAAAATACTTTCGTAATATCCTTTTTAACAACAAATGAATCAAAAACAAAATGTATATGTATACATAACATTATATTAAATTTATTTCAACGATTTAGTTTTATTTTTTCTTGAAGATTTAACCTTTCAGCAAATTCATGGGATAAACTCTCTGTGATCACATAAACAATCATATGTTTCGATTAGATTCACTTGGATGTCATCTCGAATAACACGACCTAAACCAACACAATAACAATAACATGAACAAAAACAATAACAACGTCGATGACGACGACGACAACAATAACCGTCCAAACGCCCATGTGTCTGCCGTTCGGGTGGATGAAGCATATTATACATCAGGCATGACATTAACTTGCAAATGCCGTAAAGTCACCGTGACTCGCGAGTGGGTTGTTAACGGTTTACTATTAGGTAAAGCCCATAGAAATGGTAAGCACGTCGAGAAACTTATGGCGATAATCGAATAATGCGATGGCACTCAAAATGGAACGTTCGACAGCGATTAAGACCAATATAATCTAGAATAAGGCCACTCCCTTCCACCCTACCCGCTGTAAAAGCACACACGACTTGCTTCTCCCTCAGAGTTTCTTAGCGTCACTTTATTATTAAACGCCGTTCGAGACGAACGCAAAACTTTTCCGGAGTATGTGTCAATTTACAGCGAACTGGCAGCATCGCTGCCGCCACCGCCTCCACAGACACCGCGTAATTACGCGCACTAAACAATAATACATATGTTTTCGTAAGTGACGGAACCCATTAGGCTAATGGAACCTCGTCGTCGTCATCGTCGTGTACCTTTTTCGTTTAATATTACTCGGGTGTATTTTTAAACGATTTACTATACCACCGCTGTGTTAAGTGCAAAGTTTCTGGGAGACTCGATGCTCCCCACGTTGTATTATAGGTATATATTATATTATTATGGGCGAGTGAAATGACGTTACCATTGCGCGTGTGCATAGTTTGAAAAAGTAACAAATCGTATCACTTTCGTCTGCTTTCGATATCCATTTGTTGCTGCATACGCCGTATAATATATATACGTGTGTTCGTCGTTCAACGCGGCGAGCCAAAGAAAAGGAACACCGCCGAGAATACAATAATTTAAAAATATTTATACCTACTCGATAATTTAAATATTTTGATTGAAATTATCGAATTATTATTCTATTACAGTCGAGTGTACGGTAATTTATCGAGAAAACATCGAATGAATAATGCAATGTTAAATTGTTGTCTAACTTGTTTAGAATCTAAATTTTGTTTAAACAGAAATTATGACTGAAATATGCAAATCTTTAAAAAAACGTACTAGGTTTAATTTAAAAACGCATAAACTATATTATTACGTATACACTAGGACCTAGGTGAAACGACGAAACAAATATTACTCAAAATCTTTTATTTAAATAACAAATGCTTATGCTATACGTACAGTGACAAAGTATTATATTTTCTGCGAGACAGTCAAAATACGTTTATCTTCACGCGATTAATGTAATGTTATTTCGTGTGCAATCCAAAAATCATTAATCCAACGATTACAGAGAAATTGTATTCAGTAATGCTACCTGATACAACTATAAAAAAATAATGTGTTAGATATGAGTGATGTGACTATATTAGTTACCAGTAATTTGATGAATAGTGACAGTGTACATTCGTGTACAATAATATCATTTGACATAAGTATATTATAAGTAATGTTATGTATTATTATTATTATTATTATTATGTTATTAAAGTTAAGTTAAATCAAATTTAAGAAATTTATTTTTGTTCTGTATTAAATGCTAGGTCATAGAGTTGGCGGTTAAAGCATTTTATGCTCACCATTTGTTTAAGAAATAACCGTTTGGTCCTTTACTGAACTTTAAATCGGTCGTTCGCGAAAATAGCGTATTTTTGCTAAAACTGTTCAAATACAACGGCAATAAGATTAGGTAATAATAAAATAACCCCATATAATTTGCGAAAATCCAACGTCGTAAAGGAATCGAAGGGTTGTCGTTTTCAGACGCGTATAAACATTATTCGTATAGTTCCGTTATATATTTGATACTCCACAAATTGGGAAATATTATTTTTTTAATTTTCCATAAACAAAATAAACGAATGGCACTATTGTTGCAGAACAACGTTTCACCAACTAAATAGCAAACGTCGAAAACGCTACAAAAATAGTATTTATGGTATAAGTATAATATGTGCGAGTATATATAATATAATAAAGTACCTGTACAACTGAAACACAAATATTTTACGCTATACGAGTTATTTGTTTTTAGAATAAACGCAAAAATGTTCCTATTTATTTATTTATTTATTTTTGTTTTTTAATCAAACAAGTTGAAATAGAATTTAAACTGTTGACTCGATGTATTTTATATTAAAAACGCTATTCAACGAATAACTACGATAAGTATAATTTATAATTTATCTTTAGTGAAAATTTGAATCTTAAGCTTAAATCGAAAGCTAAGTAGGTATTATTTTATTTCACGCTTTATTCATTTTATACGATCCTTTATTTTAAGATTTACTTATGACTATTTTTTTTTATTATCGTCTACCCTCTGACTTTTGTAAAATTGTATAATATTATAATGCTTTTTTAAAAATTGTTTTTGTTTTGGTTCTCCTTAGTTGTAATTTTTTAGTGGCTTTTTTTTATCTTAGTCACAATATTATAGATAAATAGTCAAACTGTGGTAAAATGAGTACTAACGTAGTATTATTATTTATTATTATAATCGTATATTACATTATTTTGTGGATGACTGCGTAAAAGTATTCGAAATGATTTTGATTTGCTGTGATCTCCTTGAAGTCAAACGAAAAATGTATATATTTAAATACTATATATTACAACAAACAAGATAGATAGTTAAATAATAATATTATTATTATCTTATTTTCAGAAGATGTCACGGACGATCTTGAAAATCCACTCAAGAAAATTTAGAAGGACTTCGTCCTCGTTATCTGAAGTCGGTAGTCGCGGTTGTCTCCTTTATCGCTGTATAGGTACTGGGTGTATTGTGTATATAATATGTGCTAAATATACATAGAGAGAGAGAGAGCACACTACCCAGTCGCCAACAGACCAGCGTAGGTATATAAAATATGATATATATATATGGTGTGTTTGTTTGTGCATAGGTATATATAGACGTATATAGTCGTGGGTAATGAAACCCCTATATCAATGTCACCGGGGCCCTCATATATATATTATATTGTCCTATATATACCACCGCAGCCACTGCTGCCACCGCCTCCATCGGTTACCCGACACTCGTACTCACGATATTTACTCTATTCGAAATTAAAAACCCCGATGCCGAAACTCGTTGCGTTACCC